GAATGGGGAGGTGGGGGTGGGGGGGCATCTGGGGGGTGTGGTCAGGGAGGGATGGGCACAGGGCTCAACAGGGGAAGGGGGCCATCAGCATGTCTGATCCTTTTGCTTCAATGTTTGCAGGGCTGGGAATGGAATCCAATCTGGGCACTTGTGCACACTGGGCCACACCCCTGGCCCTTCACTGAAGGATTCTAGGCCAGCACTCTACTCCTGATCCTAATTCCTCAGTCCCTCACTGAGGGATTCTAGGCAGTTCTATCTCCGAGCCTCATCCTATCCTTAGCTGTCATAGTTCTCAATCCGCCTGCCTCAGCCTCACAGGTGCAAGGGTGTCAGGCAGGCACGACCACACCTGGCTCCATTTTCACCCTGGTTTGTTGGAGGTCATGGGTTGAACTTTTTGGAGAACTTCCTACTTCTGTGATCTAGTTGGTCCTGTCCTGCTGACCCCCACCCAACCCCATATTCCCTGTAACTCCAGCGCTTGTATCAGCCGTAGGACTTGACCCCTGTGGCGAACTGAGGGCTGCAGGGAATTCAATTATTGTGTCTGGGTTTTCCATCTGTCCCAAAGAGTTGGTGGCACTGGATCAGAGCTCAGCTGGAGGCCCAGGTGCACCAAGCAGCACAGGGGTTGTAACTGGTGATGATGGGAGGTGGGAGTGGGAGCACTGGCTCCCCAGTGACCCCTCTTCCTGCACAGCTGCACCACCCTTCCCAAGGTTTCCGCTTCGGCACAGTGTGGGAGAGTAGCGCAGAAGCATACATTAAAGCGAGCTTCCCAGAAATGTATGCACACATGCGGCGCCACAGTGCACCCACCACACCCCACGGGGTGGCCATGCTCACGTGAGTCTACGGAAGGTGTGTGGGGTGGACTGTGGGGTGTTAGGGGGAGAGAGAGGATACTCTGCAGCCTGCTGACTCCCCAATCCTGCAGGAGTGATCCCCCCAAGCTCAATGCCTTCATTATGGACAAATCACTACTGGATTACGAGGTGTCCATTGATGCGGACTGCAAGCTGCTGACTGTGGGCAAACCCTTTGCCATCGAGGGTGCGAGGGGTTCTGGGAGGTTACCCCAACTTGTGGGTGCAGCTTTCCTAGGTCTGTGTCACACCTGACACTGCCTCCTCCAGGTTATGGCATCGGGCTGCCCCAAAACTCACCCCTCACCTCCAACCTGTCAGAATTCATCAGCCGGTACAAGTCCTCGGGCTTCATTGACTTACTACATGACAAGTGGTACAAGATGGTGCCTTGCGGGAAGCGGGTGTTCGCTGTGACTGAGGTGGGCAGGGGCTTGGAGGGGCGCAGCTCATCCCCTGCACATACACTCCTATGCACTCCCCACAACCCCAGCTCCTGTGCCCCATTCCTTTGGGGCATCTGTGGGCCTAGCTGCCTTGAGGCCCAGGTGGATATCTTCTGTGAACACCTGCTGCCCCCTACAGACGCTGCAGATGGGGGTGTGCCACTTCTCAGGGCTGTTTGTGCTGTTGTGCCTCGGGCTGGGCAGTGCCCTGCTTAGTTCCCTGGGTGAGCATGTCTTCTACCGCCTGGTGCTGCCGCGCATTCGCCGGGGTGACAAGATGCAGTACTGGCTGCACACGAGCCAGGTGAGGAGGCGGCCTGGGGTAGTGAGGCCAGCAGGAACCCCAGGTGCCTCCAACCCTCCTGTCTGTAATCCTAGAAGATCCACCGAGCCCTCAACACCGGGCCGCAGGAAGGGCCGCAGGAGAGGCCACAGCCCAGGTGAGCCCGGCAGGAGGGATCAGGCCTGCAGGTGGCCACTGCCCTGGGTTCCCACTGCCTGGGAACCCAATTCCTGAGGTCCTGGCTGCCTGGGTTACACACCCATCTCTGCCCTCAGTGGTCCTGAGCAGCAGCCCCAGGCCGGGCTGATTGAGGGCCCAGGGCGCTGGCGGCGGGTTCGTCGGGCTGTGGAACGGGAGCAGCGTGTGCACTTCGTGCTGGACCCGGCGGACGCTGAGGATACGCAGCCCCAGAAGGCCCTGCCACGGCTCTGCTCCAATGGCCGCCCAGTCGTGAGCCCTGGGTTGCGTGCAGAACTGCAGGAGCTGGAGAGGCGCATCGAGGACGCACGCGAACGGCTGCGTGGGGCTCTGCTGCGGAGAGGGGAGCTGAGAGCCCGGTTGCGGGACAGCGCTCGGCTGCGGCCACTGCGCCTGCTGTGGCCGGAGCCCGAGGAGGACTGACCAACAGGAGGGGCACTGACCCCAGGGAGGGAGGCACTGGGGATTACCCCACACTCGTGCTGAGCACGTTTATTCTATTTACACTCTGTACACTGCAATTAAATAGCGTGGCTCGGGCGCCTGCGTCCTGACCGAGTCCGGCGCCGCTGTCCGTGCGGTGGACGCCGCTGGGAAGGCACTGGGGAGCACCAGGCGGCCGCGCCTGTGCACTGCACCCAGCCCGGCGCGGCCCTTCCAGAACCTTCCATCCGGCCCAGCTGCTCTGGGTCTGGCGCTCAGGAGCCGGCGGGTGCGTCCTGGTCCTGCGGGGCTGCAGTGTCGGTGGTGCCGGGCGGCCGGTCCAGCAGCGACGCGCTGAGCCCCGACAGGAAGGTGGCGTCTGAAATGATGGCGGCTGTCTCGGCCACCCAGCCCAGCTCGCCAGCTGCGCCTGCTGCTCCCGGGGCATCCGAGGCTGAGCCCGAGGGCCCGAGTGGAGGGCTGGAGCCCGCGTTGTTGTTGAGCTCATCTGGCAGCGCAGACGGCGGGCCCGCGCCCAGCTGTGGTGTCTGCAGTAGCATCTCCTGGATGCGGATCTGCTGCAGGATGGCGGGCAGCTCATAGTGGTGGAAGAAGTAGATCATGGAGTGCTGTGGGAGAGGTGGGGCGTGAGGGGAGGGCGGGGCCTGCCAGGAGAGGGAGCCCCGCCCCACCGCTGCCTGCCCCTCACCTGGATGAAGAGCCAGGAGGTGACGAGTGCCAGGCTGCTGTACTGGCCATTGAAGCGGTAGTGGTAGGCATAGAAGGCGAAGTGGTACAGGTAGAAGAACCTGCGGAGACCAGCCAGATGGGCTCGCGCGGCCCCTCCCCTCCCCTCCCCTCCCGGCAGCTGCCCCCATCCCGGCTCCTGCCCTCCCCACCTGCCCCGCACACCTCAGCCAGTGGCGCTTGCTGGTGTTGGTGTGGCAGCAGATGGCGTCGTACTGGTCGGCCAGCCACACGATGAGGATGATGTAGAAGGCCGTGGTGGTGTCGTTGAAAAACTCGGACATGATGGCCTCCATCCCTGCGGACACAGCGGGGTTGGCGCGGGTGGGGCAGGGTGGGGGTGGGGTGGGCAGGGGTCCTCACCGACGAGGGCCAGGATGACAGTCAGCAGGGGTGCTGCGGGGAAGGCGATGGCCATGTTCATCTCCAGCATCTGCAGCAGGTCCACTGCGGGCACAGGGCGGGGCCCGTGAGGGGCTGGGGACGCAGCCGCCCTCCCCCAGGCCGGACGCCACTCACCAATAAAGACGAAGATCTGGTGGTGCGAGTAGCGCAGCAGCATGGACACGCTGAGGGTCTGCAGGGAAGGGGGCGAGGGGAAGGAGCCGGGGGTGAAGTGGGGTGAGAGGGGCTTCCCAGAGCAGCTCGGTGGCCCAGTCCACCCATCTCACCCCCACTCACAAAGATGACCATGATGACAAAGGCCGCCAAGTAGGAGGTGCGCGCCATCCACATGCTGACGAAGCGGTAGTGCTCCCCAGACACCACGTTGCGGAGAAAGCCTGGGGGTTGAGGTGGGCTGTGAGCCCTGGTTCCCCTTCTGTCCCACCTCTGCCCTACCCCCTCCCCCTGCGCGCACCCTTATTCTCTTCGTTCTCCGCCAGGCCCTTCACACTGGACATGAGGATGTCGTCGTAGCCCAGAAACTCGTCAAGCAGCAGCCGGCTAAAGCGGTCTCCGAAGCACTGGTCCCTTGTGGGGTCTGCGGGGTGCATGGGTGAGGGATGGACTGAGGCTGCCTCTCGTGGTGCCTTCTCCCCAACAGCCTGGTCCCTCTCCCTCCTTTTTCCACCCGCTGTGCCAGCCCAGCTCACCCAGGGTGACCACCATGACAGGGATGCTGAGGCGCTGGCGTGTGGCCTGCGACAGGCGCAGGAAGCCATACTCCAGGGAGTACTCTACGATGTACTCATCCTGTGGCCATGCTGCGGGTAGGGGGGTGGGAGGGGATGTTAGCAGCCTCCATTATGGTCCCCCTCCCTGTTCTCCAGCCCTCCAACACTGCCTCCCCCGATCACTGTCCTCCTCCCTGTCCTTCCCCTGCCTTCCCTCCCCACCGGGGACCTGTACCTTTTGCTGGTGTCTCTGAGAATGGGAACTCGTGGCTGTCATTCAGGGACTCAGCTGGCGGCTTGAACACCTTGGGCTCAATGTCCAGCTCAAACTGCAGGTACAGGGGTGTATCCAGGGGCACAGGTGCAAGGCTTGAGCAGGTGCAGGGGTGTTGGGCAGGCCCAGTGCTAACTCCACTCCCCCACACCCCCTGTGCTCACCTGGACTGAGTTGTTGGCGAACATGTCCACTGTTAGTTCCTCCTCCTCATCCAGCTCCAGACCACCTGGCTCCAGCTCCAGGCCAAGGCCTCCTCGGCCATCACAGAACTGCAGCATCACCGGAGCTCGGCTGGAGTTGTGGCGCACCTCTACACGCAATACACCCTCTCGGGGCCAACGCTCACGCACGTGCTCCAGGCAGTTGATGGGAGAACGGGAGAAGACCATATGGATGTAGGCCAGCACAAAGAGCACGAACAGAGCCTGGAGGATGATGGCGCTCAGTGGGGTGGCTGATCTCACCAGCTAACAGCCACCTTCCCCAGCCTCCAGGGCTGGGCAGTTGTGGGGACACCACAGACAGGCAGGTAGGCCTGGTTTCACCCAGAATAGGACAGTGGCCACTCTGAGTGGTGGCCCTGCATCTATTAGATCCTGGGTCCCACTGCGGAGTGCCTGGCGTGAAGTGTGTGGAGGGCAGACACCCACCCTGACACAGATGGTCAAGTATACAGGTCAAGAGAAGGAAAACACAGGCCAGGGAGATGGCTTGGTGGGGATTGCAGCCAAGCCTGACAGCAGGCATTGAATCCCTAGGAACGATATAAAAGATGGAGGGGGAACCAACTCTTGAGAGCTGCTCTCTGGCCTCTACATGGTCCCGACACCCCACACTCAAAGTAAATAAGTGTAATAAATTTTGTTTTGAGACAGGGTTTCCCTGTAGCCCCGGCTGGCTTGGAAGTCACTGTACAGCCGAGGTTGGCCTCAAGGGCGATGTCTCCACAGGTCAGAGTCATGGCAAAAGGTGGCCCACCACTCTGTGGGGCCATCTGGGGCCCCTCCTCCACTTCCCAGCCTGGCTAGCAGTCAACACTACTGATCCTGTCTGCCCATCAGGTGTTAGCAAAGTGTTAGATAACCCTGTATGCCCACGGAAGAGACTTGGGTCTCCAATCCTAGTCCAGAGAGGCGAGGACCAGGTGACAGGCAGCTTGAGCCACAAGGAGGTGTTTTTGTCCCTGGTAGCAGGAGACTGAGCAAGGGCTTCGAGTGGGCAGTCAGGACCCTGGACCTGGCATCTGGGGGCCAAAGTGGGTGTGCCCAGTCCCTAAGCACCATCTCCTGGGCATCAGGGCTGGGAGGGCTTGTGATCTTGGGGTCTGTTGGTCTTGGCAGACCCCCACTGGTGGTCATGGCTGTGGTGCCTCCTTAAGGGAAGGCACTGGACAGGCTGGTGCACCCCTATGTCCTTGCTCTCTGTTCACTGCCTACCCTGACCCCGCCACATAGCCCCCTGTCCCTCAGCTCCTGTGTCCAGCATGCCCCTCAAGCCCTGAGCTGCTCCCCAGCTGTGTACTCTGTGCCATGGGTGGGCCATATGCCATCACCTCCTGCAAAACACCTCAGTGCCACCACCCACAGCTCTCAGGACACACCATACCCTGTCACTAGGCAGATGTTTCCATATCACCAAGTGGGTATTTTCTTGTCACACTGTGCTGGGAGAGGCTGGACCAGTTGGTTTACCTGACCAATGGGCAGGTGCACTGGTGGGGCCACCCAGTCCCCACCCTCCCTGGCTCCCCGCCTAACCAAGGGTGCCACCTACTAGCACCCTGTAGGACAGCTGTTCCCTCAGCAGGGCCCTGAGTCCTCCTGGCCTTCCTGGAGTCCTGATGACTGGGTGAGTGACACCACTCCCCTGTGCCCTCTGGCACCTGCCGTGTCCTGAGACCCCCCCATAAGGCACCCCTTTGACTATGGGCCGACTGGCTGGCTGCTTGTCCAGGTGCCTGGTGCTTATGCTCAGGTCTAACCAGTCTGGGCCCTTGAAGTCAGGAAGATATGGAGGGGACACCAAGGCTGGCAGGTGTCCCTGGGGCCTCACAGGGGCTGGCACTCAGCCAGGGTGGCCAGGGCACAGGTCTGGAAGGACCCTCTGCTGCTAGAATTGGGACAGGCAGGGAGGGCAGGAAGTGAAGCTTCCAGAAAACCCAGCAGCCCCAGAAACCAGCCAGCTGCCTGGTGTGTCCCTGAATGAGAACAAGAGATTTAGGGTTCAGCAGGCACTCATGGGGCAGGGACTCAAGACCTGTAGATCCCCACCTCTGACCTCAGACAGCTTGCACCCCTAGCAGGGGACACTGTGGGGGGACTCTGGGGGTGCAGGAGGGGGGAGGCAAGAAGAAAGAGGGGGCCCCATTTGCAGGCAGCCAACTAGAGGTTGAGGGGAGATCCCTGACTGCCCAGTACCCAAATCTGAGTCACTTCTACAGACCTCCCACCAAAGCTCCCAGCATCTGACAGCAACAGAAGCAATCCCAACTTTGCCAGCTCCACTGGGCAGAAAGGGCAGACCCCCACCACCACCCCAGATCCCCAACACCAGAGGTGTCTGGCCCTCCTGACTGGCCTTTGTGGCTAAGAGCTCAATACCCCCTACACCCACAGGAACATAGCAGATGCAGACCACAGGAGCTTTGGAACAAAATCCAGGCAGGTGCAAGGTCCCTGACAGTGACTTTGCTGCCAACCCTAGTGAGTGACCTTACCGGAGTCCCACAGAAGGCCCAATGAGGGTCTGAGAAGGAAGATGGGAGACAGGGAGGGAGGGAGACACTGGGGACATGGGGGGACATCAGAGTGAATGGACAGCTGGCTCAGGGGACCATCTCCAGGGGAGACTCAGGGTGGGCTGTGAGTGACAGGTGGGAGTGGACATCTAGTCCAGTGTGGGCTATGACAGGTGGGAGTGGACATCCAGTCCAGAGTGGACTGTGACAGTTGGTGGGGGGAACAACCAGTTCAGAGTATGGACATCCAGCTAGGGTGGGCTGTGACAGGTGGGGGTGGACATCCAGTCTAGGGCAGGCTGTGACAAGTGGGGGTGGAAGTGGACATCCAGTCCAGGCTGGGTTGTGATTGACAGGTGGGGGGTGGACATCCAGTCCAGGGAGTGACAGGTGGGGGCTGTCCCCAGGGGACAGACACCCTGCTCTGAGTCAAAGGGCAGGAGGCGAGGTCTGGAGCCTAGGGGGTGGGGACCAGGGTGACAGTTGATATAGGGGTTCCGGTGGCCGGGGTCAGGGGTCAGGAAGGTGAAGAAGCAGGAGACGGCAGGTGGGGGCAGCTGGGGTCAGGGGTCAGAGGTCGGGGGTCACCTTGAGCAGCACGAAGAACTCGAAGAGGCGGCGAAAGGCAGGCGGAAAGAGGCGCGAGTAGGTAACGGCCATCTTGAAGAAGAGTGCATGGAAGAGCCGGTCGCGCACGTTGATGAGCGGGTTGGGGTTGAGGTTGGGTCCGCGCGGGCCGCGCACGGGCGCCACGCCGCCGGCACCACCGTTGGGCCCAGGCCCCGGGGCCGCCGCGTGCTCCGACATCGCCACCCCGAGTAACGCCGGCGGCCGCCGGCTATCCCCGCCGCGTCCCGACACCGGATCCCCGGCCGCCTCCAGCCGCCACCGCCTGAGCGTCCGATAGAGTCGGGACTGGGCCGCGATGCCCGCGAGAGCACCGGGACAGAGCGCCGCGCGTGCGCGCAGGGCACGCTGGGATGGCCACGGCCGCCTAGGGAGGCCGCGCCTCAAAACCGGGCGCTCTGGCCACAGGAGGGGGAGGGTCTGGGTGGTATGGGTGGGGCTTCAATGGGGCAACGGAAGCGCGAAGGGGCGGGATCAGGGGCCCTTCATTTGCTTAGGAAGACGCACCGGAGAGGGCAGTGCTGAGGGGCGATGTTTGGGACCCGAGTCATTTGCATAGATTTTACCTGAGGCGGCAGTGGCGTCACCGGGTCCGATCGTTTGCATAAGGCGTGGCATCTGAGGCGGCAGCGCTAAGGGAGCTTTGGGCCTGGTTCATTTGCATAAGGGCTTCAGGTGAAGCTGCAGTGTTAAGGGGCGGAGTCTGGGGTTCGGTTATTTGCATAGGGCTTTCAATTGAGGCCGCAGTGATAAGGGACGAAGCCTTGAGCGGTTCCGTTCATTTGCATAGTGTTCTGTGTGAGTCAGAATGGTACTGCGAGGCGGAGTTAGGGGGAGGCAGCAGGTGTAAGGGCGGAGTCTAGGGCCCGGTTCATTTGCATAGGGCTGTAGGTTAGCGGGGGGGGGGGGGGGGGGGGGGCGGTGGCTCAGAGAAGCAGAGGCTCTGATTCGTCATTTGCATGGGGTTTCACATAGGCTGTGGCAGGGCTGAGAGGTGGTGTCAGGGCGCGGCTCATTTACATAAGGCTGTGTGAATGGGGCGGAATCTGAAGACAATTTCTTTTACATAGAGCTTCAAATTAGCCGAAGCAGTGCTGAGGGGCGGAGTCTCTGGATCTGTGAATTTTTTTTTTTTTTTTACTTGGGGCTCAGTTTTAGCCCAGGTAGTGATAAAGGAGTGGAATCTCTGATCCGGCTCATTTATATGGGGCTCCCTATTATCCGCGGCAGGCTAAGGGGCGGAATCTGACGCGCGTCTTATTTGCATGGGGCTTCCAAGCGTTCCTGCAGCTCTGAGCGGGCGGAGTCGAGTCTAGTTAATTTGCGCCGTGCTTTGTGTAGACCGGACACTATTGAGTGGCGGAGTAGGGACCCGGTTATTTAAATAGGGCCTCTCTTTTGTAGCGGCTGTGGTAATGGGGCAGTCTCGAATTCCTGTATTTGCATAAGGGTTTCATTAGCCTGGGTATCGTTAAAGAGGCGGAGTCACGGGCAGTCCGGCTTATTTGCATACGACCTCCATTAGCTGCTGCAGTTCTGGGGTCGGTTGGTTTACACCAGGCTGCTTGAACGGCACTGAGAGAGACTCCCGGGGACCCGTGCTTTGTCTAGGACTCTTCCTATTAGCTCCTGCCGTTCTAGGGGGCGGGGCAGAGTGGGACCTGATAGTGGCATAGGTCTTCTCATTAGCACGGAAGCTACGGAGGGCGCTGTGTCCCTTATTAGCATAGGGCTTCCCACTCGGTGGTTAAAGATGGTGGGAGGGGGTAAGTGGCCTGCCTCATTTGCATAGAGCTCGCATAGAAATTTGTTCCGTTAGCGTGAATGCCCAAGGGGCGGGGCAGGGTGGGAGGAGCTAATTTGCATAGGACTTCTATTAGCCACTGCAGCCCTGGTGGGGGGCGGGGTTCCCATGGGGATAGCTCATTAGCATAGAGAACTTCACCCAAGCTAGTAAAGCGCTTGGAGCCGGGGTTGTGTTTGTGACTGTCTTATTAGCATAAGGCTGCCCCAGTATGTCGTCTACGGCTGAGGGGCGGGGCCTTGTGGAGCAGGCTCATTTGCGTAGGGCCTCCCAGAAGCCTCTGCGGGTACAAGAACTGAGCATAATGTATTAATCAGTATCTGAGGACTTTTACGTGATCGTAAATACTTTTTGTGAACGTAGAGCCAAAGTCTCGTCTGTTTTGGAGGCTAAAGAAATTATATTAAAGATTCAAAAAAAAAAAAAAAAAAAAAAAAAAACCTTTAGGAAAACTCCCTCAACTATAAAGCTTTTCCCTTTCCGTGCTTTAAATAGGTAGGTCGCGACGGCAAATAACGTGCTTGCTTCGGCAGCACATATACTAAAATTGGAACGATACAGAGAAGATTAGCATGGCCCCTGCGCAAGGATGACACGCAAATTCGTGAAGCGTTCCATATTTTTGGCGCTATCACACCCAGATTTAGCCTGCATCCCTCTTTACCGCTAAACATGCGGAGCCACTTTTCTTGCCTGGGACATTTATTGAGCACCTACTGCATAACGGAGAGGTGGTCCTGGGGTCTGCCTGATCACCTCTCGTTTTTGAAACACAGTGGACCTACTTTTATTGAGTGCCTACTGTGTACCTCCAGCGTGAGGCAGGAGTACAGGTCTCTGGGTCTGCTGAACTGGAATGGATGGCCATCGAAGGCACATGGCGTACAAAGTCACTGACAAATGCACAATATGGAAATTATTATGAAACATACACATGCCTCTTGATGGAAGGAAAATATTGTCTTTCCTAGGGTGACCAGAGCAGCAAAGTCTGGCCTTGTAGCTCTTTTGAGAAAAGCCACCGGGACCCCCTCGAGCCTGGGGCGCCGCCGGGTCTCCTGCCTCAGGTACCGCGCCCACCAGCAGGTGAGATGTGGCGAGTAAAACCGAGTTGGAATTTTTTTATTTTATTTATTATTTTTATTTTATGTGTATGAGTGTATTGCCTGCATGTAGTGTCGTGCAATGCGGCAGAGGTCAGAAGAGGGCTTTGGATTCCCCTAGGAACTGGAGTTAAGGAAGGTTCATAGCCGCCATATGGGTGCTGGGAATCGAGTCCCGGTCCTCTGCAGGAGCTGTCAGTGCTCTTAACCGCTGAGCCGTCTGTCCCTCGAGTTGGATTTTTTTTTTTTTTTTTTTTTTGGTCTTTTTGAGACAGGGTCTCCCTGTAGTCCCAGCTGGAACTCACTATATAGACCAGGCTGGCCTTGAACTCACAGAGATCCACCTGCCTCTGCCTCCCAAGTGTTGGGACTACAGGCGTGCGCCACTACGCCCGGCCCGAGTTGGAATTTTAAACGTCACTCTATCAATTGATGTCTAAGCAGCCACCGTGGCGGTGGCTCAGATCTGCAGCTGGCTCTCCAGAAACCCAAACTTGAGCGGGCTAAACTTCCTATGGGATCCCCCTCCCCCATCTGGCGAGGAAAGCCGAGGAAGAGAACCCAACGCAATCGCCCCACCTTGTGGACCGCAGAGATGGTTCAGTCTAGAAAGACTAAGCAGGAAACACCGTGCAGAGGCTGAGGCACTGGGCTGGGATCAGATCGCCTGTAGGGAGAACCCTCCTGTAAATGAGCTGTGCAGATCCAGGAGGTAGGTATAGGTGAGGGTGCCGGTGGATCAAAGGCCAGGGGGTCCCTAGGCCGGCTTTGCTGTGGACAATAGGACCTGGACAGCTCGAGAGTCGAGGACGTGCCCCAGGACCCTACTGGAGCTCAGCTGGGGGACACCTCAACTCCCCGATGCCACCCAGACCCAACAGGGACTGGGCACCCCTACCCAGCACCCACTCGGGTCCCAGGCCTGCTCGCTCCCCTCAGCCAGAGCCAAAATTCCTAAAATGTTTGACTTGAGGAGCTGCACACACACACACACACACACACACACACCCTCCGCACTGTGCAAGCATTAATGCGTCTGTTTACAGACCAGGAGCCCTGGGCTGACCAGTACCTAGCATCACACAGCCAAGAGGGGAACAGATTTGAACCCAGACTCCACAGGGTTGGAAACATAGAAGTCTTAAAATTACACAGATTTTTTTCAGGGTGGGTAGAGACAGGGTCTCATGTAGCCTAGGCTGGACTTAAACTCACTATGTAGCAGAGGATGACCCTTAACTCTCGGTTCTTCTGCCTCCACCACCCACGTGCTGGGATGACAGGTGTGTGTCACCACACCTGGTTTATGCAGCGCTGGAGGTGGACCTAGGGTATTGTGCATGCTAGGTGAGCATGCTACCCTCTGAGCTACAAGCACTCTATCCACTGAGGTACAAGCACTGTACCCACTAAGCTACAACCATTCTACCCACTGAGATCCAAGCACTCTACCCATTGAGGTACAAGTACTCTACCCACTGAGGTAAACACTCTACCCACTGAATTATAAGCACTCTACCCAACTGAGCTACAAGCACTTTACCACTAAGCTATTGAAAAACATAAAGATCAGGAGCCATGAAGCCTCTCAGGCAAGTCACGTCTCAGGCAGGTCATGTGCTGGTCAAGAATTCCAACTTGCCGATAAGTAAGCTTCATGGCCAACTCTCTAATTAGTGAGTTTCATGGCTGAGACATCTCCAACTCACTGATAAGTAAGTTTTATGGTTGAAACATCTGGCTTAATGATAAGTAAGCCCCCCCGCTCTCCCTATAGCATTTTGTAATAGTTTAAACTAGCCAATAACCACGCTTCTGCTTCTGTAAGCTGCTTCTGCCCTATAAAGACCCCAAACCCCAGACCTGGGGCGCGCTTCTCCCTTTGTCAGGAGTTGTGCCCCCAGGTACCTGTGTGAAATAAAAACCTCTTGCTTTTGCAACTCGAGGGCTCGACTTGTCCTTTGTGGTTTCAATTTTACAAACCAAAACCAAAACACCAAAGACAAGAAATAGCACACTTTAAAAACAATTAAACTGTGTGTATCTGTGTGTGTGTTAAAAAGACAAGGAATAACCCTCTTTAAAAACAATGAATGATAGAGGCCGGGCTTGGTGGCACGCACTCTGGGAGGCAGAGGCAGGCGGATCTCTGCGAGTTCAAGGCCAGCCTGGTTTACATAGTGAGTTCCAGGACAGCTGGGGCTACA